TATTTTATTATTTTTAATTTAAACTATTTTCTAAAACAAATTTTTTAATTCTTTTTAACCAATGAAATTTCACTCAATTAATTTTTATCAGTCATAAATATAATTTTAGGTTAGTTAATTATTTTTGTAAATAAACTTAATAATTTAATAAATTAGAAAATTAGGTTTATTTGCATATTTAATTTAATTTCTTTTGCATGAAAAATCCTAAAAAACATGTTTTCATCAATTAAGATTTTTGTAAATAATTTCACATAGAATTAAGGTTTCTTAATTAAAAGTAATTTAGAATTAGGGTTTCAATTAGATCAAGGCTTAATTTTATTTTATTTAATCAACATTTAATTAATTAATTTCAAATAAAATCTTGTTTTAAAACCCTAATCCTGATTTTTAAAACTCTCTCACTTCTCAACCCCCGTTTCTCGCTTGTATTCTTATTATTTTATTTTTGGCAAGGACTATGTATAATGTTTGGAAGCCATGTAATAGTTAGTTTACTTTTCCGCATTTCTTCTCGATTATGTAACTGCTCATGAGATGTAATAGTTAATTAGGCTTTACTTTTTTCTTTTACTTTCTGCACTCCCCACTTTATGGTTATGTACCCCCCTCCCCAAAGCCTTGTAATAGCTAGGTTTAAATTTCTCGCATTTTATTCTCTTATATTAATTAAACTGTTAGATGATTGATAATAGGATTGTATGCGAAAGATAAATCAATGTTTAAAACAGTAGAAAACCCTAAATCTGCAAAGATTAAATAAACTGAAAACAAACGCTTGCACATGTTCACTCCTAGGGTTTTTCCCCACTTCAGTTGCCTTCGGAAAATGGTCACTATTCTCGAAACGTGAGAATTTTTAGTGGTTGTCCTCTAATTCGAAAGATCACTAGTCCCTCGATGACCCTTTCGACGTTGCCTCGGTAAAAAAGTGATCTTAGAGTTTTAGGACAATTACAAAAAGATCTTGCCCAATTGCCTTAGTGACCGTAAACGTCCCTTTCGATTGTCCCTTAAACTCCAACGATGGAGCTACCTACTCCTTAATAGTAGGATAAAACTGTCTAAAGGATATAAGAAAAACGAATAGTCTTTTTCGAGTAGGTAGAAACTCTTAAGTACTTGCTCAAAATAATCTTTTACACCATACACTTTCAAACAAACTTTTCAACTAAAGTTTTCAAAAACACTTTATCACACTCTTGAGGACTGATACAAGGGTTACCATAAAGTGAATTGCCGCACTAAGGAAATTTCAAAACTTTTTAAAGCACACAAACACACAAAAGCAATTTAAAAATGAGCAAGTACCTAAGAGCCCATGGAAAACCATGGATAGAAAGGGTGCTAACACCTTCCCTTTCTATAATCTACCCCCCCGTACTCAGAAACATATCGAAAAAGGTTTTTTCTATTCTTTTTCCCTTTTCCTTTGTTGGATAAAAAAAATACGATGGCGAATCTTGCTTACTGTACATTTGCGAACAAAAAACGCAAAACCAGTAGTAACAAAAAACAGTCGGTTCTGCCACCGTATTACACGCAGGATGGGAAAATTCCATCTAGGTTACTCATGTCCCTCAACATGCTTTGTGAAGTACCCATCAATTGTCTTTATGGTCATCTAGTTACAGATAATGTTTGATCAGCAATAAAGCACTTGACTCTACATCTAGGGTTCATAGTGGTTTCAGGTCGAAGGAAGGTATGCACCACTTATCACTATGAGAACAACTTATGACACTTTGCATATCATTTTATGTAGTATTCTCATAGTGGGTCAATCCAGTATAAATATTACTCCTAATATTCATACCTACGTCAAAACTTGATAACTCCTTATACATGATTCATGAGATGTGATCATCAGTCTATCTACATAATAATCTCAATGATTATTATTATCCATCTTCACAATAAAGCTCTACTACATATACTTTAAGAATATTATCTTTATGTTTAATGAGATCTCATGATTAAGTCACACTTAACATTTCATTAAACAGACGAACTATTCTAGGGACTTTATTATTTTGGAAAAGCAAACATAATAAAGAAATGCCTTTTATTATTAATAAATAATTCGACACAAGTACCAAAAGTATTGGCCTATAGGGCTTACACCAACATGATGTTTAGGTGATTATACTCTTACAAGTGATTAAGTGATATTGTGACCACTATGTTGCAACAAATTTGGTTAATGAATGAAAAAACAATTTTGTTTTACAATTTTGTTAATTGAACAATTTTCCTTAACATTCTTGCACATAATTTGGACACTGTCAAGCTTTGCACATAACTAGCAAGTTAAGACTTATTTTACAGAGAATATTTTGCATAAAAGCAAATTTGGACCATGTCAAGCTTTGCACTTAACTAGACAGTTTTACACTTTGGACCAGTTTTGTAAAGATTTTCAAGATTTTAGAAAATTTGAACATAACTTGTTTGCACATTAAAATTTGACATAAAATCTTTTTGTACACATAAGAACTTGAAAATTTGCTCATAACAGATTTGCTCATTATAATAACCTGGTTTGTCAGTTTTCTACAGTTTTGACAAACTATAATTCTTGCACAATTTGCACAAAACAGTTTGACATGATGGAACATGTATTTCATTAATATTCTTGTTTATGACATCAATTAATTCAAAACATCAAAATACTTCCTAATTCACCCATGGCATCAAAATTTTACTTAATTCACCAAAAACATCAATGTTATATTTAATTCATCTATTACATCTAAATACTACATATTTCATCTATGTTTACAGGTTAGGTGCTTGTGATTCTTGCACAATTTATATTTTCTTTTCCTTGGATTTTCCTTTTCCAGTCTTCAAATTCAATCTACAAATAATACAATTCATGGTGAAGCTTTCACCTCAGCCATAAAAAAAACAGTGGTATTATGCCAATGTGTGCCATGTTTTTTTAATAAAAATAAAAACAACATATTCCCTTGATTTTTAATATAACTGAGGGGAACACAAATCAGGAGACACTTTGAATCCTAGCTATTGCAGTTTATGTTTTTTTTGTTTATAAGTGTAAACTAAATGATCTAACCCTTCAGTTTTTGATAAAATCGAAGAAAATAATCAAAAATTTCTATAAAATCACTCGTTAAACAGATTTTACCATAATCCTTACTAATATGAAGTCACCAAAACTCACATGCACCATTCTTTGGGATGGATTACAAGACAGAAAAAATCTTCAATATTCTTCTATCTAGAATAAAACATTTTTTCCGCACCTGCAATCTATCTCATATAATAGTGTTGAAGTTGTTGTTGTTGTTGTATTTTTACTCATTTGATAGATTGCAAGTGCATACAATTATTCTTGATTCAAAGAAGTGATCTTAACTTTTTAAAAGTTAAACAAAGAAGAGATCTCAACCTTTGAAAAGTTAAATAGACAAGTGAGCTTTAATTTGTCTGAAGATGGATATCAGCGAAGATATTCATTAATAATAAGAGAAAAAATTTATTGTAAACAATGTATTTTAATATTCTGTGTAAACGATGTAAATAAAAAAGAGTTACTCACCTTAGTTTTTTGTCACAACCGAGGTGATAATAAGATAATGTACCTCAGTTTTCTTATAAAATCGAGGGGTATAAAAATAAGATTTTACTATAAATACTCTCGCTAAACTGATTTTACCCTAATACTAACTTATTTGTAGCCGCCCCAAATAGAGGAAATATTTACCACCATACATTTCATGAGTTGCTAATATAAAAAATCTTTTTGGATGGATTTTCCATGAAATTTTTTTATCTAGAAATGCTCAAGAACTTTGAGAAACAAATCTCTGGGATGAATTTCAAGTGCAGAAAATAAAGATTCCCATGGTGGGAACAAATAACTTATCATAAGTTGGATAAGTTATGGAGTGTTTTTTGGATATGAAATATAAGAGTATGGGTATGCAACAAATTTTGGATTTCACCAAAGATTTATTGTAAACAATGTATTTTAATATTTTGTGTAAACAATGTAATACCAAAAAAAGCGTATTCACCTCGGTTTTTGATTTGAACCGAGGGATATGTTAAGTGTTTTTCTTTTTAGGATTTTCAACGGCCTTTACCAAATCTTTGTCGTCCATTTAATGATTATCAATGCTCATGACTCTACCATTAGTGATCTGTGTGAAATCTAATAGACATTCATTATCAAAGCATGTTGAATATTAACATTTCTAACCTAAATGAAACATGAAGCACTTGAAACCTAAAGAGTCCATCATTAATTCTCTATGATGGATTACAAGAGCATAAATTTATCTTGGTTTAAGGTTTGTTTTCTTAAATATTTATTTGAACCAAAAATCATATATTTGAATATTGATTTTAATTATCATACCTTTTTTTCATCAGAAACATATGCATGCAAGATTCGTAGAGAATAATCTTGCACCCAACATATAATATTCCCCGAGATTCAATAATTCGAAGATCTAAAATCTAAATCTTCTGGAAATTTGATTTTTATCTAGATCTCTAGGAAATTTTATTTTTATCTAGATTTCTAGGGAATTTTGTTTTCATTTTAATTTTAATATTTTGTGTAAACAATGTAATATTCTGGGTAAGCAATGTGACAATTTTTTTAAAAAGTGAAACAATCTTACCCATCGGTTTTCTAAATAAATTGAGCGATAAGATACACTAATTTTTTAAATAATAAAAGTCTTACGGCTAGGGTTCATACCCATATGCATATAACTTTATCCATTGATTTTTAAAACACTGAGGTGCTAAGTGGCTACTTTTCATGACTCTCTTCATTATCTCGCTTCTTTAGCCAGGGTTAAATGCATGTTGTATCCTAGGTGACATTTGTTTTTTGTAGTAGTCTTAGCCTTTTTTGACTTGTTAGGCATATCGTGTCAGCTAACATTTTTTCCTTTACTGCTCTTCATATTATGTCTCATTACTCCAAATTTTGTACATGATAGTGGTGATAGCTTCCTTCACAGTACATAAGGATTTTTGGATACGTCATTTGTCTTGTTTTTGACCTTTGGCATTATCATTTTGAAGATCATCAACATTAGCATTATGAACATCATCAACATTAACATTATGAACATCAGTAGCAACAACATTAACATTTCTAAAACCAGTAAATTTTAGATAACAACTCGCCAATTTTCTCATAACATTTTTACACATTACAACATCCTAGTTGGAAAGTTTTACACCGTTTTGAAAAATTAGAATTTGTGTACAACTTTGCACATAATAGTTTTGCACAAGCTTGATAGTTTTCTCATAAGAGTTTTGTACATTATAATAACCTGTCATAACAGTTAAACATGATAGAACATATATTTCACCTTTGAATTCTTAGAAGTTTTTTTTCTTGTTACCATTCTTTGGCATTCATTTTCAGCTGCTCTTTTTTCTTTATAGCTCCTCATATTATGTCTCCTTGCTCCATGTTTTGTACATTTTTTCCTTTGTAGTACGTGAGAAATTCTAAGTTCTTCATTTTGAATAAATTAACAACATTAGAACCACAACACAATAATCAAACAAGAAAAAACAAGTTCGACAACAAGAAAACATTAAAAACTATGGTCCACTACATTCTAATGAGGCAAGAAAATAGGTGGGATCATGTGAAGAACTAACCATAAAGGGAAAAATGCATACTTGAAACAATACTAGCTTCTTCTTTATTTTCCCATATAAAAGGTGCTTTGGTCATTTTGCAAAGAACATACTTTGACCAACTGTACTTTGAAACCCAAAAAATGAAGATTGAACGTTGAACGATTGAGGGAGCATAGCCTCTTTGAAACCAAAAGGAAATTTGAACGATTTCATTTTGAATAATTGAAGGAGGCTCTTTGGTTGAAGGAGGAAAGGGATTATGGTTCACACAAAAGAGGTGCAAAAGAGGATAGAAGATAACATGATTTATAATTGTAAATATTAAATCCAAAAGATATAATAACTTAATGAACAAAATGTATTAACACTTTTTTACATATATTTTCTAATTTATTTAAAATGAAACAGACAATATTTCTTACTTGGAACAACATCGACATTTCCACACATTAAAGGAGGACGCCACATGTGCAAAGTGGAGGGAAAAAACTCAAGATTTATAAAATAGAGGGACCAAAAGGCCAAATTTTAAATTAGGGAACCAAAATGTTAAAACCAATAAAATAGGGGGACCAAAAGTAAATTTAAGCATATTTCCTTTTTAAAACTAGAATATAATCCTCAATTTACGAAAACCAGAAATCGAATGCTCCACATATTCATTTCGTATATATCGAATCTTTTATTATTTTACTTGTAAATACATGTTTGTTTCAAGGTTACAAAAATTATTCCTGGGAATATGACAATGGGAATATAATATTCTCATGTTTGATTCAAGTTTTAAAAAATCATTCCAAAGAAGTTTTTATTCCAAGGAATATTATTTACTCATGAATTTTCTATTCTTATTCCAAGGCATAAAGGGTGAGAATAAAACATTCCCATGGGAATAAATTTAATTAACTCTAACTTTCCACTATCACTCCTATTTACTATTATTTTATATTTTTTTTATAATTTAAAAATAAAAAAAATTATAATCATTCTTAGGAACCTAAATTCTTACCAAAAACATAGATTGGAATAATATTCCCAAGAATAATAATCCTAGGAATATCATTCCGAGGAATAAAATTTTCAACCATAAAACAAACACATCCTAAAATTACTAGATTCTTTATTTCTTCTTGAGTAGTGTAGATATTTTTATTTAGATGTTTATTTTTTAAATTTCTTTTCTTTTCTTTTCTCAAATTCAATTCTAAAGAGTATTGTTCTATTCATGTCTTGTACAAGATTATGAGATAATTTGAAAATATATAGGCTTCCTTGATTTGACTGTTACTTGAGATGAATATTGAAATAAGAGTGTTGAGGTCAATTGTACTATTAGAGAATGTTAATTTCAAACCTTGTACTCAGAAAAAATAGTTGCACACTGCATGTATACATTTGGGTCACGCACAACTTGTACTTTTGTACCTTGCGTAGTATTCCTTGCTATCTCTAAAATTTGAATTTATTTTGTTTGAGAGAGATATCATTAAAGTTATACTTCAATGGATAAAATTTTAAAATATTCACTGGTTGTCACTAGAGGATAAAATCAGCAGGAGGATAACAAGTTGGTCTTCTAGGCAGAGGATCAAAGTATTTACAATGTAGCAATGAGTCGATTAATAATTATTGTGAGATATGTAAGCCCTTAATGGTTGGATTATTAATTTAAATTTTGTTGAATTAGGTTTATTTTAACATGTTATTAATAAAATTATTTTACTTAGTAATAAACATAGTAAGTGCTCTTTCTTTTAGTTTTACTATGTTTTTTTTTATGTGCGGGACTAGCCATGTTGACAAGTTCTTACACGACAATATCATATGATTAATGACCTCTAGGCTTTTAGCCTGAAGAAGTTGGATTAGGTCATGATTGGAGAATTAAGGGATAATTCAGAGGAATTACAAGCAAAGCCTATAGAGCTGAGTTATAAAGACAGAGAAATAACGATGAACACTAGAGAACAAAACTCGAAAAAGTTTCCACAAATGCTGCCAGGGGCCGCTCCTCGGCTGGTGCAGGTCTATTACAAATCATGTTGTCCCTTGTGTGTTGTGTATTACTGTTTTGAAAAATGATGCCTTTGAAACAAAATATAAACTGTTTCTTTATGATCAAGAAACACTTAGGATAGAAAAGATGGAAAAACAAGAAGAACACAAGGGTTGGTTATAACTGCTATTTTTTAATTTCTCTTTAAATAAGATTATAAGTACACAAGAATAAAAAATAACCCTCTCACCCTAAATTAAGATTTGCAGTATGCAATGATGAGAGACTAGTATGCTATTTATAATAAACCTAACATACTAAACTAATGAGTTTTTTCACAAATACACATTACAAGTTAACTTAGGATACAAGCTAACTTAAACAACTGGACATAACAAACATGCCCAATTCGAAATACTAACAACTCTATAGCATTTTGACACTCATATAATGAACACACTTCGACTACAGTATGTAGGTCTTCAACACCAGTATGTGAACATACTTCGATGGCATGCATAGATCATGTAGAACCAGAAGCTACTCTTCGACCCAATAGAGTTTGATCCAATATCTTACAAATCTCCACCTTGGAACAAATTCTAATATGAAAGAACAAACTAGTTTTCTTCATGCAGCTTTATCAACTGCATACAATGGAAAAACTTGCAACTGGGCAATGTCTTGGTGATCATATCAACAACATTGTGATATGTCGAAACCTTCAACACTTGGACTTCTCCACACTCGATTACCCCCTCTAAAGAAATGAAGCATCACATCGATGTGCTTGGTTCTCTCATGATAGGCTAAATTCTTCGACAGGTGTATTGCACTTTGACTATCACATTTAACAGTGATAACTTGACCTTGAACTTTCAGCTCCTTAAAAAAATCTTCAAGCCATAATGCTTCTTTCATAGCTTCAGTGACGACAATATATTCTGCTTCAGTGTTGCTTTCCAACTAATTGTTGTTCCAAACATAGTGAAAACATATCCAAAAATAGATTTTCTGGAATCCATACAACCTATATAATCAAAGTCGACATATCCTTCGATTACTTATTTACTATCTTCACCCAAAGCTCCACCATAAATTAAGACTCTGTTCAGACCAATTTATGTACCTTAGAATTCACTTCAATTCTTGCCAATGAGTCTTTCCAGGATTCGCCATGCACCTACTTATAAAACTTCTTGCATATGTTATGTCAGGTCTAGTACAAAAAATAACATACATCAAAGAACCTATTATATTAGCATATGGAATGCTATTCATATAAGCTCTTTCTACTTGAGAATTGGGACACTTATCGATACTCATATAGAATCGAGGATTTGTCGGGGTCACAACAGGCTTTGAATTCAACATACCAAACTTGTCAAGAATCTTTCGTAGGTGTCATAACCCAAATTTGCCACATCAATTTCAATGATCATTTTATCTAAATTTCAATATTACTATGTTACTAATTTATAATCATATTATATTGCTTATTCTATAAGGGGTATATATTCATAAGAGGAGTGTACTGCTTCAAAATAGACCATCAAAATCTGATGGCCCATTGAGTTTTTCACGAGGCTTGTCTATAGTAGAGGGTGTATATTTGTTTCACTTTTAGGATGGCCCATTTCAGTTTTTTTTATATATAGACCGGTCCATTAAAATTTCTTTATTTTTTATTAAAGAGAGGGGTGTATTGGGCTCAACTTTCCTCGCAACTAAGCCCATTTAAGGCTTCATCTTCGTATAAGTAAAAAGGGGGTGTCCTTATTGAATTGGATGGCCCAATAAGGTTTTTTGACTCGTTTGCAAATAATAATAAGAGGGAGGTATTCTTAGAAGATTTCAGTAGGCCCATATCACTTTGTTTTTGGTGGCCCGTTTGCTTTTTGTGCGTGTTTTAGAGATTTGCTAGCCCATTAAGTGGTTTGAAAACGCATTGGTTTTGTCAAGGTTGATCGAGTCAACCAGCTCTTCCTAATATTACTTTTATTAAAATATTATTATTAAAATTAATATTATTGATATTATTATTATTACCATTCCTTTTGGTATTTTTATTTCGTTGACCAAGTCAAAATAGTGGGAAGAAACCATAATTATGTTCTTTCAAGCAGTGCCCTGATATTCATCCTCCTCCCTAAGCAACCCAAGCCCAGAAAATGAAAATAGATACTGTAGAGATTTAAAGAAAAACATTTGAACATAATCAAATCAAATATTGTCTTATTTATTACAAAATCGTCCAAATTGATGAATACAAAATCTCTAAATTACACAAAATCTTTTAAATTCTAACAGAATCAATTAGCCCTAATCTGATTCCTAATCAATAAAATATAATAACAATCAACATGAAAATTTCCTAATCTATCTCTAAGGCTAAACTATAAATAACTCTAAAATTTCTAAGAGGGAGAGGAAGAAATTGTAAACAGAAACAGAAGAATAAGAAGAGAAGGCGTAGAAGCGATCCCCTCGGAGCTTCCCCTTTGCATAGATCTAGGGTTTTTGATCAGAAACCCTAAGATCTTCCTTCAAATCGCCGTCGCACCGCTTCCGTCATCATTTTCTGGTACCTATAAAACAAACAAAGGGAGAAGATCAGTGGAGGCGCAGAACAAACAGAGCTTGAAAATCTACGACGGATAGAGCTAAACACTACGCTTAGCTTTTTAATCTTGTCTCAATTTATGTTGATGTGTTGATATGAGGGGGATGTGGGTTTGATTTAGGGCCAATGAGGGTTAGCGCCACCGCCATTTTCGATTAGGGTTTGGAGAGGGTATGGTTGTTGTTGGTTGTTGGAGAGAGAACGAGAGAAGAGAGAACAAAGGGTAACGAGAGAGAGAGAGAGAAAGAGTGTTGAAAAATGAATGAAAATGTTAAGAAAATGAAATGATATACTACCTCCGTCTTGTAATCTGCTGTGACATATGGCCAACATCTGGTCATGTGATCCCTTATACCCCTATCGTGCACCTTTAATCATCACCGCACAATCTTGATCAAATGCTCCATGGCTACGCGCCCACCGTAACTCCCAACGCACGCACATACGTGGTCCAAATGGACCACCTAACATTCAA